TAGGTAAATGTCGAGTGCAAGCTCGCAAGCTCTCATGTCTACTTACCGTTGATCCCTATATTATTATCTCAACATAATACTCTTGTAAATAGCAAATAAAGTTAATAAGCCGTAGCGCACTAGCGACCATCATTTGCGCTCACATCTACACGTTTGTGTGTGCTTGCCGCAACAACTAGGCGAGTTTTGTATATACATCGATTAACAATGAAAATCCATATCTCGAGCCAGCGGCTAAGCGTGTGTGTGTATGTATATAATACTTCATAATATAGGAATTGACCTTGGACTTGCCGCCGATGCCGATGTTTGTGTGTGTGTATGTGTGTGGTCTAGCGCAGCGAATGTTGTCGACGTCGACGTCGTCGCTTATACGTTATAGCGTAGTTCGACGTAGCTCTCTTTGCGTAGTATATCCCACAATGTATAATAACGTATACGCGCGCAGTGGTAATGAACTAACACACGTATTATATATAGAGCGTGCGAGCACACACACACACACACACACCCACACGCAAGCTCTAGCCGTCGCGATCGCTGTACACACAATAGCATAATACAAACGACGCGAATGCAGCGGTAGCAATTGCCACACCCGCGCTTAGCCTCTAGCTGGCCATTTACGTATAAGGTACTCAACTTTTTTACGCGAGGTTCTTCGTTGCGCTCGATTGCGTCGCGCGCGCGCCAATCTCTTTGCATGTGCAGTGCATTTTCGCCGGCCTTAGCAGATCCCTATAGAACAAAGAGATTGGCGAGTTAAGCCGCGTATCGCATGCTCGTACGCGTATCGCATGTGTCTGTGTTGGCTAGCTCACGCTCGGCTATAAAACTGCGGCGAGGGTCAAGAGTTTATCAACGTCGTAGATTGAATTATATTATACATAACGCGCGCGCGCGCATGGCAAATTTTGACGTACCGCGTACGACCATTGCATATTCGAGCGAGTGCCCGAGTCAACAAAGAAAATCGAGATAAGCTCGACAACGACGATGAAGAGTACGTATAATGAACGTCGAAACGTCGTGTCACGTAAACATGCGGAAAATAACTTGGTTACATCTTTGGGAGGATTGACGCGTTGCGGCGAATATGTCATCAGCTCACTCTCCTTCTCTTCGATCGAGCCTGCATTTAATACCCAACACGTAAATGTGTTACATTGTAGGAGCAGCTAGCTCTGCGCGCGGCTTCGCCCGCGATCGTGAGCCCATATATCCTGGCCCCCGAGTGCACTAGCTTATGTGCATACATATACACGAACAAATATATAGGAGCAGTGCCGCGCGCGTTATATAGCTCTCCGCAACTCCAAGAGAGGTAAAAAGCGACGTGACCTACATAGCGTCGCGGGCCGCGCGCGCGCTCGGCTTTAATACCGGCTGTGCCAGAGTGCAGAGTACACATAGTATAATACACACACACATACGTACATGCATGCATATAGCATGTACACAGCAGCAGCAGCAGCGAGAGAGGCAAAGTTCGTGTATTATAGCAGTGAACCCAGCAGCAGCGGGCGAAATAGCATATATAGGAGCGCACACACATCGGGTGTCACCTATAGGCCAGGCGCACTCGGTTCGCTCGGCTACGATATATATGTCGCGCGCGCTGCTGCCACTGCTGCCGCTGCTGCTACTGGAGCGGCGAGATATGACTCGGGTCAAAGGTGGGGTACGGCCCGCTTTAAGCTCTCGCTCTCTCTCTCACTCGGTCGCGTTTCATGGGGGGTTGTAACCTACTTTCCAGCGCTCTCGTGTCCTAGTTTCGCTCTCACTCGACACTCTCGACGCATTATAGCAGCAGCGCGTATTATATATATCGCCTGGAAAACCCGGCTGCGCTAGCCGGTTCTTTCCCGGGCAGCAGCAGCAGCAGCAGCAGCAGAAACCACCCCCGCAGCAAGCGCAAGCTCGCTGGCACACTATAGCACCAATAGCTAGAGCGAGAGAGAAGAGGTGCACGAACGCGCGCGCAGCTGCGGCGGCGGTGGACATGCACACATGCATACAAGCGCGTACGTGTATGTACGATAGCGCGCGAATCCGCAACGCAGAGGCGCACGAGAGCGCGTGTGTGTGTGAGTGTGCGAGTGCGAGAGAGAGAGAGAGAGAGAGAGACTTTAGATCGGACTCTGACTCGCCTCGCGTGTATTCGCACTCGCTGCTGCACACCTCGTCGAGATCGAGCGTCGACTCTTCGACGCGGTCGTCGAGCGACGACGACGACCTACTTCCTGACAACGTGGCTATATAGCGCATCAACACAGCAGCAGCAGCAGCAGCAGCAGTATATACACAACACAACGGCGTACGCAGAGTGCGACGAGCTTTCGATGCCGTTTAGTCATTGGGAGAACTGCATCTGACTTGCAACAATATGTCGTAAAATCTCTCAGCGGCGTGTGATCTTGGATCAGTGAATTATCGAGTATACATAATATACAATAATACATACAAAGCGACGATTTTAATTGAGTGCGTGCGCGAGACCACTGACAATTAGGCGACATGCAAAAAAAGCTCGGGCAACGAGCCGTGACGATGGATGTGTAAGATGTGTTTTCTTAAAATATCTGTGTTTATAATCTATTTTACGAATCATCAATGCTCTTTTTTTATAGTTCTTTCTCTTTCTCACTCTCACTGCTCTTTGTGTATATTATTATAGTCGAGTATTTCGTCATATACATCCACCGTCATATGTCATCTGTCGAAAACATGTATGATTCACATTTATATAGAAGTGCATTCATTGTATTTTTAGCTGAAATAATATCACATGCGTTATTGTTCATAACATCAGCATATGAGCATCTAATTCGCACTGCGCACACTCGAGATAGATCGTGTGTGTATGTGCGTTGCGCCTATGTATTATGCATATTTGTCGCCTTCGAGATTCGCAAACATTATCATTCGTTTGAGCGTACACGAAACGTATTATTAAAAACACACGCATAAGCATCATTAATAATGGCCGCGTTAGAATTATTCACCGCTTCTCACTCGATCATCATCGTCTCGATATGTATATATTGCCGCAGTGCGTGACGACGCGCTCTGTGTCGTTAAATACCTATATTATATATCGATAATTTGTTAATAGCTCGAGAGAGCGGCTCTTATTACTCTGTGCCGCTGCCGCTGCCGCTGCACCACTGCCGAGTAAAAACGAAAGCAAAAAGCTCGATAATATATATCGTCTGTTTATATACGTACGGTAACGTGTGGGTTCACACGTTCGCGCTCGTATGCACGCACACACATATATCACAGCGGCTTATAAAACGCATGCAGCTCCGTATGCAGCAGTGTTACAGTTGCAGGCAGCAGCAAGAACGCAAAGCTCGAGTAGGTAGAGGTGCACACGCATGCATATGTGTATACGAGCTGTGTGTGCTATATACGCATCGAAAGGTCAGAACGCGCTAGATATACGACGTGTGTATGTAGGCTGATTATCGCTCTCCGCTCCGCTCCGCGCGCGCGCGCAACACTCGGCAGCAATAGTAGCAGCAGCAGCAGCAGTGGTGCACACGAGCCGGCCGGCTGCCTGACTGCATATGTCGTCCAAGTCGTCATAGTCATAGTCGCGTATATAAATGCACACGAGCTATATATGTGTATGTGGCATCGTCGTCGCGCTGTGGCCTCTACACGTGTGTAATAGAACTGCCGTCGTCGCTATACGCCGCTACTCTAGTTGCCGCTGCCGCTGCCACTGCCACCGCTGCTGCAGTCGCCGCTAATGTCCTTGTGCTCTTTTAATCCTAACGTACTCGTGTGCTCACACACACATCTATATATATTCGCGGCTTCGGCTTGTATAAATGCTCGCAAGGAGAGTAGCCGCACAAACGATGTCGCATAATGAGACACACTTTATGTGTGTATACTCCATCGTTGTTTATTGACATTACGACTTCTTTTCATTTCTTTTCTCTTTTCCTCTGGCTGCTGCTGCTGCTGATGCTGCTGTCGTCTGTTTTCTTTAGAGTCGCAAGTGCACAAGACGTCTCGAGCATGTATTGCCGCATATATAGCGTGCGCCATTTATAATAATGCTCGTCGCGCGGCCAGGCTCGCGAAAGAAGCGTGGGCCTATATAATGCACTCGAGACGTACGCGCGCGTCGGAGTAACGCAAGAAATTTGAAAGTTTCATTTTCTTATTTTTCCATTTTATCTTTTTTTTTTCTCTCCTTTTTTATTGTTATTATTGTTGGTTGTGTGTGTGCCTGTGTGAGAACGGCAGCGACGAGGAACCCACGCACCGATGATTCCACTATTGCTTTCGTAACTCGCTCCTATACTCTTAAACTGCTGCTGCTGCTGGTTGCATAAATATGTACGTGTATATGTTTGTTGGACTTTTGCGAGAGTCGAGTGGTGTTTCGTTGTTTCCGAGGCTCTATACCTGAAGCAGCAGCAGCAGCTGCAACGACGGGGCATTTTCACGAGTCAGGACGAGAACAATATGCACTGAAAAATATATAGATGCTGCACGATACTAATGGCTAATTTTCACGGAAACTATTTGTACTGTGGCAGGTATATACAAGAGTGTGTGTATGTATGTGTGTATATAATACGGTTTAGCGGCTTTTACAAGTCTTTCGCGCGATCGCGAGCCGCGCCGCGAGCGTGTTAAGTTGCGCCGTTTCCGAGAAGGTAATTTGTTGGCTAATCGCCTGTACAACGCGAGCCTCTATATAGCAATAAGCTAGCTGCGCTGCAGTATATATGTAGCAGCAGCAGCGGCAGAGATATACCAGGTGTTGAGTATATTATAGACAAGTCAACTAACTTGCTGCGATTAGGATGTTTTTATTTTCCTCCTTTTTTTTCTCTCTTTTCGTTTCGCTATTATTAGTGGTGAAAGTAGAACGGATAATGTATATATAAAATGCAATTAGTCTATACGAGCCGTGAGGCGCCTCGAGCAATCGTCACTAATGTGCCTTTTTTTTCTTTATCTCGACCATGTTACAGATCACGAAAACGAAGGCCAAGTTCGAGCAACGATTCCGAGCGCTCGTACAATGCCTGGAACGACTCGGCCAACAACAACAACAACAATAGCAGCCACAACCACAATCATCATCAGCAGCAGCACCACAACAACAATAATCGACAGACGAGCGTCGTAACGTCGACGCAGGCACAGTCGCCGGTCGCCGTGGCACCGGTACAGGCCACGCAGACTTCGACCGGAGGTGGTAGCTCGGCAACGACGACGGGCGCGATGAACCTGTCGATGACGGCCAGCAGCGGCGGTTCCGAGCCGCAGGAGACCGTCTACATGGACGAGTGCTCGGCGGCTATGGTCCTCATGTCGCTGTCTACCCCGCCCAAGAATCCCCTGCCCATACACTGCCAACAATCTTACGGTAAACACCACAAATTCCGCGCGCGAATTTAGACGTGACCCACTCCGTGACTGAACACTGTTGTACTACTGACCCCTCTCCGTGCATATAAACACAGGATCCTGGGACGACGGCATGAGCAACCGTGTGACCATCGGCTCGCCCGGCACCAACAGCAGCCAGAGCAGCAGCAGCGCGTCCTGGCGCAGCGCCACCCCGAGCCCGCCCCTCAGCGACGATCCGATCAGCCACTCGGCCGCCTGGGCGGCCGCCCATCCGAACAATCATCACAATAATCACCATCAGCTGCAGCACCAACAGCAGCACCATCACCACAACAACCATCACAGCCAGACGCATCAGTCGCCTGGCCAGGTGCCGGTCGTCGACCAGAGGCGCTTCTATCACAGACAGCACCATCCGTACGCGGTGGTGCACCGCAGCAGCAGCCATCGCAGACACCGGGGCGGCGGCCTGTCCTCCTCCTCCAGCAGTCCCAACAACAGCCCCTACGACGAGGGCATCGTGCCGGACCTCGATCAGGAGCGACCGCGCAAAAAGAGGGTAAGTTCATTTTTATGCAAACTTATTCGTAATTGTAAGTGTGGAGAGCTTTTCTCCTCTCAAAGCTCTCTATCTATCACGCTACACTTGCGCAACGCGCGCGAGTGGCCCGATGACTTCCGCCTTCCTGACTCACGGTATATATACACAACGAACTTATACGCGCGCGATATATAGCGATACACAGAAGCGCACTCGAGCTGTTATACGCGCGCGCGCCTACGTGTGTACTTATCGTGACGTAATTTTTCGTGCATCCTCGTTCGCGACGCTCCGACGCTTATATACACGGACACAAAGAGACGCGCGAGCTGTGTGAATATATGCAAAAAGGAGAGCTAAATTTAGCTTGTCGCGGCCCTGCGCACACCTCGGCTCGAAATAGATCATCGCACACACACACATCACTCTCTCTTTCTTTCTTACTCTGCTGTGAGAACGGACCAGATATAGACGTATAGTATATATAAATACATGTTACACTTGCAAATATATACACACAAGCGCGATAATACACGCAGACTTTGGGCTTTTTTTGACCGGCATCTGTGCTTGCAAGCTCGTGTGTGCGCGAGAAGCGCGACTCGAACCGCTTTTGCTGCTACTTCTGGGCCCGGCAAAGCCGAAAACATTTTTTCGCTTTAATAATAGAGACGCGTATAAACTTTCGCGAGAGCGCAGCAGTAATTTTGAACAGACCACATAATGCCGTGGACCCGACTCCAATTTTGGTCGTCGCGTACGATATTAAGGAGAAAGAGAGAGAGAGAGAAAGAGAAAATAGTATAGCGCTACCGCGTGCGAAAAAAAATGAAGAAGAAAAAGAACAACACAGCCGGTGCGCGCGAGGTGGTCGCGATTTCCGACAGCTCGAGGCGACACAATAAGACAAACAAGCGAACCATACGATGAGCAAACAAGCAAACAAATGGATTATTATGTGTGTTATATAGCTGCTGAGCGCGAGATTGATGAATTGTTTTTTTTCTTTCTCTCGCAGATTCGATCAATTGAAAACGACGAGGACTACATGAGCGCCAACAACACTGGCTCTAGCTCCGACAACGATGTCGTACGTAGCACTTTTTTTTACTTCTCACATATTCTGCATTCCAAGAGACCTCTTATATATACCTAGACATAATACAGAGCGCGCCCATTATCATTGAAAGTAAAATATAAGCGCGCCTTGGATAAATTTGGCAACAGCGATCATTATCCAATCTCTGCGTGCATGTAGTAAATAATAAAAAAAATAAAATAAAATGAAGCAGTCGAAAAAATAAAAAGCTCTTGTTAAAAAAAAAGCGAGCGCGACTATCTGTTTTTTTGCGTGTCGTATAGAATTCAAGGTCGAGATCGTGATTTTAGTGGCCCCCTTGAGTCGCGGTCGTGGTCGCGTCGATGAGAAAAGTCGCTGGCGCTTGCGTGTAATAAACATGGAGTCGCACTGCACACGCACATGCATGAGTTTGTGTATGTGTGGCTTATCGTCCACTGTACACGGCTAATTCTTCAAAAGACTTTTCTTCGTCATGCCACAGCGAAGAAAAAGGAGCGAAGGTCACACAACGACGACGCGCAGCAAAAATACCGCATGAACTTTAAAAAAATATATAACACATAAATGTACACATGACCGTACGGTAGAATATATAGGTGCATGTGATATAGAGAGAGAAAACGTATTGCGCAACTAACGAGACTTGCGTAATTTTCCGTGTTGATATTAGATAAACGGCGAATAATAATATTACGTATTAGTATATAACGTAGCGCGTCGCGCACAGACTTACGCGCGTACATTATATATTATGGACGCGTACACCGCATGCACGCAAATCAAGAATTAAAATCAGCGAGCGTACATAGCACACACATACACGGCCAAAAGGATGAGCTTGAAAACTATTCGCTCGCTCGTTCGAGGTCGAGATTCTCTATCTCTCGATTTCCGCGAGGCGTACACTACATGCACTACCGTGTGTGCCGCAGATCCGATGCCCCGATGTATATCCCCCGGAGAGAGAGCTTTTTGTGTGTCGAACGCGGGCGGGACACACATTCGTTGCCATTGTATACAAATTGCTGCCGTAGGAAAAAAAATCATCCAATTTTGCCGAATGGCGAATGTATAATATAAAATATAGCGTGCACGCGCAGACATGCGGCTACAACGATCGCTATAAATTTTACGTACATATCCAAGGAGCCCTGCTTAAAGGAAAGAAGAAAAATACAAGGAATCATCGTCGTCGTCGTCGTCGTCGTCGTCGTGCATTTTTGCCTTGAGCTTGCGCGCCCGCTCATTCTAGCTTATATAAAATGACGTCAGATCGCAACTCGCGAATTGCAACGGCACGTGTAGCACCGTCCCCTTCCCTCTCTCGTCTCTAGCTGCTGCTGCTGCTGCTACTGCTCTTAGCAAATGTTCCAAGCGAAGGACGTTGCTGCTGCAACTTTGCAACTCGGGAGCGCGCGCGCACAAGCAAGCAAGCAAGCCTGCCTAGCTGTGTATATGTGTAGCGAGTGCGCGAGCTAGCTAGCAAAAAGAGGTGGGGCAAAGAGGAGGAAGGAGGTGTATATCTAATGCTAGTTTTATACGCTAGAGAACTGCTAGAGAACTGCGTACGTGTATATGCACCGACACATACACATGCATAGGCTAAGGTCACCGCGGCCCTGACTGCAGCCGCACGCGCGGCTCGCTTTGCTAACGCGAATATCCACTCTCGCATATATATATTCGTGCATGTGTGTGTATGTGTGTGTTCGTGTGTACATGTATATGACTCCGATATGCGCTTACTCGCGCTCGTATACATGTCTGCGAACGTCCGTATGTGTATTTGTGCTAAGACTAGCATTTTCATTATTTTTCAACGCGGAAGCGCGATCGCACATTGAGAGTGAGAGAGAGAGAGAGAACTAGAAGTAGAAGAAGCCGCGCGCGCGCCCGAGTGCATTTTCTTTTCTTCTCTGCGACGTCGTTAATTTTTTTCTCTTTTTTTATTCCCTCCTTTTCCTTCCCCCGATCGCCCCACTTGCGGCAGTAACTTCGCGCTCCGTACACCGCTATGTATCTCGGACGCGAGATTTGCACACTTAAAATGCGACTCGCGAGGCAATAAAAAAAACACACAGAAAAAAAGAAAAAAGTATAACGACGAGGTGGATAAAGTAAACGATGCGTGCGTGAACAGTAATGCTCACTTGGCCATACTTGGATGCAGTCTCTGTGCCGTACGCGAAAAAGCTTTTTCGAAAGTATTTAATGCACGCGAATATCATAAACGCATGTATGTCAATTGGCGGCCGGTCGGCCGATCGCCGGTCGACGCGGTTGCGATAAACTTGCGACACACGATATTACAATGGCCTTTTTTTTTTAAATATATAACTTCAGGAAGTATACCTGTCGATTAACTGTGTGTGTATATAAAACAGTACACAGTGTTTTATAAATGAATGAATCACGTCAGTCACTTTCTCTGAGAGCAGCACTCTTATACGTACACACACACACACACTCGTATGCCGCTCGCGCAAATAAACAAGCTCTCTACGAACGCTTCATCGACTTTTTTTGCGGCCGCGCTCCGAATGATCGAACGACGACATAGCGCGAGCTGTGCAGATTAATTATTTTCATAACTCGAGTGTCATATTTATAGCGAGCGTATCGACAAATTACACAAATAATCTCGTTACAAATTGAAACAAAAAAAAAAAAAAAAACAAGGAAGAAAAGAAAAGCAAGAGCAGCGGCAGCTGCAGGCTGTATCGATCGATCGGTGGTTGGCAGCTTCGAGGGTGAGAGAATAGCGGCAACGGCGTCGTGCGGTAGCAGTGGCAGCAGCAGTCTGGCCTGCACACGAGCGTGGGCGAATCACTCGCGAGCAAGCGCGAGCGAGCGGCCCGATATATAGTTAGCCCGAGGAAGATCAAGGCCGCGCCGCATGCGAGCGCGACTTTGTGTCCATGTCCGTACGTACGTGTGTGTATGCGTCTGAGTGTGACTATATAAACGAACGAGTGGAAACTCTTGCCAATAAATTCGTTAGAACCCGGCATACACACACACACACACACACACACACACACACACACACACACGTGAGCTTTTATAAGTACGCGCGATATATAGACCGCAGCTTGCGATCGTATATATCCATGTGTGTAAGTGCAAAGATAGAGCAGACATTTTTAAAAGTTTATATCTCGAAACCGATCCCCTACTCGAGTGGCGCTGCGGCTGCTGCACACACAATGCATAGAATACGTGTATTATTATATATAACAATCATTTTTTACACACGCGCGCGCACGAAGACGGACTCGAGCGAAGGTTACGTAATTTTGTAAAGCTGCACGAGTGTCGTTGTGTGCACTACACCGCTCGCTGCTAATATACATACAGTAGCTCGACTCTCGACTGCAGCAGTGTGCCAGGCTCATACTCGTGTACGTCCGTGTGCATAAGTGTGTACGTAGATGTACGAATTGTTACGTAATCCATATAGACGCTCGCGACGTGCATATATATTGCATCGACGAGCGACCGCCGCTCTCTTTAGCCGCTACTGCATGTTTATAAAGGCGTCGATTGCACTGCGCATTCGCGGTGACTCGAGGCTCTTGAGCATCGAGAGGAAAAGAGAGAAGCGACGCCGATGAAAGATGTGCGACGCGATGATGCAGCTCAAGACGCGTGCTGCAGATGATCGCAATGGCAATCTTGCAGCTGTATAAGATGTATAAAATAATGCGTCAGCTGATCGGCCCACAGACTTCCTTCTGATAAATCATTCCGTGCCTGCAGTATGGAAAGGCGTCGAAATTTTACGTGGCCTTGCGTGGTCGCCGGCCGGACTATATAATAGACAGAACGACACTTGGCGGCCGCGATTGCACACACAGACACACAGACGGACGATCGTATACGTCGTACATCGTTGTCGTCTTGAGAGTCGCAAAATTGCGTTGATCGTCAATTGCGGCTCTGCTACATATTCATTGTTAAAACGCGGCTAATTATCGGAGCTCGCACTCGTGTGTATGAGTGTGTTTGTGTGTGTGTGTGTGTGTGTAGCGGGTTTTGCAAATGTGTCCTTGGCCGTGGATGAGCGTGTGTGCTATATACCTAGCACATGCAGCAGCGAGCGGCACCGCGCGTACAATATAAATCGTGCTCGAGCTGCTATATAAGCTCTCTCTCGTGCACGCGCGCGGGAGGTACCGAGTTTTATATATATTGCGTGTGCACGAGCGGCACACACACACACATATATACCCGCTGATTTTACTCGTGTGTGTGTGTGTGCGTGTAGATGATTTTCTCTGTGTACCGCGTGTATGTACACGTGACTGCAGTTGCAGTCGCGCTAATATAATCTCTTCCCCCTTCCCGGTGCTATTACCGCGCACAAGCCGCGAACTGTTCCGATCATGCCGCTTGGATGATCGCACGTCCCGGTATATAGCGTGCGCGCAGGGATCCTGCTGCAGTGCGGCCATGTTTACACTTTGGATACGTCAAAGAGGGAGATAACTTAGCATGGCTATATTTGTCAACAAATGGTTATTGCATAACTGTTCATCCGCGTGTGTTTGGTGTCCGTGCGCAGCATCGCGACACGGCGATCGCGAACGCGTTATGAGCAGCTTAGCGGCGCAAATAGAAAAAAAAACCTATAATATCTGTCTAAATTGCGCAACCATAATAATGGCAAACTGGACTCGGGCTATTATAGTGCAGTATACGCAGCTTGGATAGGTGCGTCCGTACGCGAGATAATGTCTAGCCGTGTTATTTTTTTCTTCACACTACATATACGTTAACGCACTATCCTATATTTATAGGAGCTGCAGCGAGCGTAATATAATATAGCCACGCGCGTCGACGCTGTGCACTTTGCGCTTCATCGTGTGTCTCTTTATTGGCAAATATATTATATGCATGCACGGATCGAGCTGCTGCTGCGTATAGAATTGTCGTTTGGCAGAATATCTACTGCGCCTTTCAGCCTGCGTGATGTATAACTCACATGCTCGAGATTCGATAAATTGTCT